AGGGTCGCTATGAGTCTCAGGCGACTCGACGGCACATAACAACAACAACACAACAAATACAATCCCTCTCCCCAAGTCCACTCCACTATGCAGCCTTCATTCTGGACTCCTGTCATGACAACAAAACCTAATTATATATCCCTTTTACATAAAGTATCCCCTCTTTCTTAAAAAATAAAGGCATAAAAAATGAGACTAAAGCTATAACTAGGAGCAGTCACAAGTGACTGAGAGAATAAGGCATTTGACAATTTTTTGTGAGTTGGATAATATTTCTATTTTTTATGTGTTCAGACACAGGTATGGAGTGGTGTGGATTTTGTCTTGATCCATCATGGCCACAGAGTGGCCTTAACTGTTTAGATTCTGTGAGGTAGTTTATGTTCAACAGGAGAACACAGAACCAGCTCGTATAGCACTAGCACTGGCAGTGCCTGACTGAAGAAAGCAGTTGGTCCTATTTCAGATGCTTTGAATGGAGATTCTTGTTGGATGATAAGGATCCACGGAGCTCTGGTGGCCTGATGGGTAAAGAATTGCACTGCCAACGCAAAAGGCAGGTGATTCGAGCCCACCAGATAGCCTTGCTGGGAAATCTTGGAAAACAAACCCGCTAGAAAGTCAGCTAGGAATCAATTCCAAATCCATGGCAATGCCCCAGCCTACCTGGCCTGAATAAGGATCCATAACATTAATGAAAGGCAAATTACAAAAAAATGAAGGGGAAAAAAATCCTGTGAGAGTGCAAAATGTCAAATTGTATTAAACAGTAACTTCATAGAAATTTAACTACTTGACTTTTACCTATTATGCTTTATTTCTTCTCTCTGTTACAGCAGACACCATGGAAGGTTTTCAGTGTTCTCCTTACCCTGAAATTGATCATTTTGTTCTTTCTTTGGTGAATAAATATGGCATCCAAGGAGGTAAAGGTAATTCTTTATTCCTTATTAATTACTACATAATAAGGTGTTATTAGCTAAAGAAACATTTGCATTTTAGGAATTAGACGTTGGAGCTACTTCTTCCCTGAAGAATTACTGGTTTATGACATTTCTAAATATCGCTGGTGCGAAAATGTCGGAAGAGCACACAAAAGTAATAATATTATGTAAGTAATGTTACCTAATAATACAGTATTTAAAATGTTTTCCATTTCCTTAAAAGTTGATAATATGAAAATAATTTTGTAGTTAAAATTGGTTAATAAGTTCAAATTTTAATTATTTGGTATTTGATAGTATTTGGAGCTCCCCAATTAAAACAAGCGTGGAAGGAGGAGTGGCGTCCACTTCCATAATAGCTTTCCTCCGGAAAACCTACCAACCTGGAGAGAGGATGAAAGTTATACAGGTGTCCAGGTCTTTGGATCATAGGGTCACTATGAGTCTCCTACGACTCGATGGCACTTAACAACAACAACAACAACATTTCTGACAGTACATTTTCCTTGTATGTATCAGCATTACTTATAAGTTCTTTGGTATGTAAATAGAGAGCTCTAGTGGCATAGGCTTTAGGGAATCATGTTGTCAACCCAAATACCATGCCTCTCTGCTGGTTCAAATCTATTAGCTGCTCTGCAAAAGAAAGATGGGTTATCTTCTCCCTAGTGATTTACAGCATCCGTCCACAGAAAACCTGCTGGAGAGTCAGCTATGAATTGGTTTTGACTTAACAGCAATGAGTTTGAGTTCTGGGCATACTGTTTAGATATATCAGGGTACAAATGACTAGACTAGAAAGACTCAACGGTAGACAGCTGAACAGACAATGATGATCTAAAAATATACTGTTCTCTACTCTATTGCTATTGGACCGTCATACTTAATGAAGTGAAAATTTTAAATTAGATGATTTCAGCAAGAAGAAAACTCTGCCCCATAAATATTGAGAATTGGAAGTTAAATTAGAGAAGAACTTTCTAGAATTTCACTTTATTGTTAAGCACTGCGGAGATGGCTCTGACTCACAGTGAGCCTGTGGAACGAAACTGCCCAGTCGTGTGCCAGCCTCACAGTCATTGCTGTGTTTGAGTCCATTGCAGTCAGTCAGTCCATGACATTGAGGGTCTCTCTGTTTCTCAAACATTCTATGAAGCATAATGTCCCCGTCCTGTTGACATGTTGAAATCACACCTTTCTTAACCTCTAGTGTGCATTCTGGCTAAGCCAAGGCTTTTGCATATTCAGGCATATAAAATGTGCTTACCAGACATGAGACAATGATTGTGAACTTTGGCTGAAAAGTGAAAAATCTGTTGAGCAGCAAATTCCAGGTCTGTCCTTGATATACTTAGATTAATTTAGTTAGAAAACAGTCTTAAGAAACTGTATGCTCAGTACACAAACAGAAAAACATATAGGAAGAGATCACCCTTTACCTCACAAGGCAGAAAAACTATGGTTATCATTTTGGTGAATGTCTTTTTACTGCTTAGTTAGTTTTAGCAATCTTTTTTTCTTTCTTCACTATGCATATACATAAAAAAAAATAAAATCCGTGTCATACCATAACTATCTTTACACCCTTTGGAGATTTTCAAGGTTACTCTGTGTTTGTGTCCTTGAGAATTACAGAGTTGGGCTGGCTGCCCTCCCCAGGCAAGGATGCTGGAGCTCAGCTTCAGGCTGAAGGAGCTTGGGGAAGAACTTAGGACCTGGGGCCTCTGCCAGGCTCCCTTTTGGTGCAAAGATGCCTAAGAAAGCTGGTACAATGATTAAGGATAAAAACCAGCTCAAGGAACCAGAGAATACCACTTCCTCTCTTAGGTCTTCAGGTGGTTGGTCCTAACGGTTGTGCCATCACAGTCGTCTAAGCCAAGTCTAGCTCCATACAAATGCTGTAAAAGATCTGACAATGGAAGCTTTGAATGTTGCTATGGAAATCCCTCCATTAGAAGGTGAGGCTGCTCAGGTCTGCTGCTACCTTTCCCAGGGCTTAACACTCAGGAAGAGTAATGTGCTTTTGGATAAGGGTGGATGTCTTGTGAAAAAGCAGGGGAAGATTTTGCCCTCCACAACTCTAGCAGAGATAATGGAGAAATTACAAAAGCAAACAAAATAGAAGAAATTTGGGGGAGAGAGGAAATCACAAAGTTGTATTTATGAAATTGACTGTATTAATAATATATTCTAAGTTATATTTGCAAACTGGTGACATGTACATATAAATGAATCCCTAGATGGTCCAAATCATTAGCTCGTGTATCTCCTAATGGAAAGATTGGAAGTTCTGTGGGCTGCAGAAAGTTGTGCTGGTAACCCAAAGGCAGCTCCTCTGCCATTTGGACTCCACCAAATGGTTCTGTGGGAGAAAGATGCTTAGGCTCCTCAGATGCAATTTACAGACTCTGGAAACCCACTGGAGGGTCAGCTGTGAGTCAGTTCTGATTCAGCCACAGTGAGTTTTGAGAGTTTTGAATTCAGCTAGGGTTACAAAGTACGAAGTCTCTCCTTGGAGGCTTGGATTTTGAATCTCAATCTCACGTACTTTGGGCACATGGCTAGGAGAGATTGGTCCTTGGAGAAGGACATCATGCTTGGAAGGGTGGACAGACAGTGCAGGAGAGGAAGACCCTGGATGAAATGGATTGTAACAGTGACTGGGGTAATGGGAGCAGGTCTGTTGGAGTTAGTGAGACTGGCTCAGGACAGGGCAGGCTTCAGAGCTGCTGTACACAGGGTTGCTGTGAGTCACAGGTGACTTGATGGCACATAACAACAACAGCAAGGGTAAAAAAAAAAGTAAAAAAGCCCTGCTGATCTGTTCTAAAAAGTCAGCTCTTGAAAACCCTGTGGAATACAATTCTGCTCAGACACAGATAGAATCCCTGTGAATTTCAGTTGACTTGAACAACTATTGTTATGTGCCTTCGAGTAGGAACCAACCCATAGCTGACAACAGGTTTTCAGAGGCAGTAAATCACACAAGAGGAGATTCATCATTTTTCTCCCATGGAGCAACTGGTGGATTTGAACCATATGCCTTCAGGCATTATGTATTTATAGGGACTGTAAAGTGTACCTTCTTACCACTAGGCCAATAGAGCTCCAACTAGTGGGTTTTTTAAAAAATAACATTCAGGTTAATGACTAACAGTGAAATGAGCCTCTGTCCTATCGCCTGAAGAAACCAAACTTGACCAAATCTTAGAAGCTCCTGTTGGCTCCGCCTGAGCATTGTTCCCTGTTGCCTACTTCTCTTCATGGTTTCCCATATATACTTATATCTCTAAATAGGACACTGTCTTATTTTACTTGGGTTTTTTAATAAATTTTTTCATGTATGACAAGCTTTGACTTGCTATTACTCTTGTTAGCCTGATGAATAGATATCATATTGTTTTCTTTGGACTTTTAAAAATTATTAATGAAGTTAGATTGTTAAATCATATTAATAAGGACTTACCAGTATCAGGCTTTGCTCATAAATTTGAGCACACGGCGTCTCTGAAGGCGCAGATGCAGCACACGAACACGTGGCCTCACCTCCGCTCTGAATGCTCTTTCAGAAATGCGTGGTCATTAAGCATAACTGAGCATTGGTTACGACACACTTGCATTTATACTCTCATGGGTACAAACATAATATGTGTGACATTTCTAAGGGAGTCCAAGGCTGAAAGAACTGCCAAGTCTGTCTTGAAGGGAGTGCAATCAGGGTGTTCTTTAGAAGCATAGATCTTGCAACTTCATCTCACATACTTTGGGTATTCTGTTAAGAGAGGCCAGTCCTTGGAAAAGGACATCAGGCTTGGAAGATGGAGCCTCAGCAAAAGAAAGGAAGACCCTCAACAGGATGGGTGGACACGGCGACTGTAACAGTGCTTGGCTGGAGCATGACAGATCATGTGGCTGGTGCAGGACAGGGCAGGGATCAGATAGGTTGCTTTTAGCATTGCTATGAGTTGGAGTCAACGTGATGCCTCCTAACAACAGCAGTGACAACACATGTGGTAAATGCACAGACTCTGGGATGGCTTACCATTTGCATTCCCCAAATTAGAAACTTCCTGGAAAGAGCAGTCTGTCAATAAGGACACTTTTTTAAATCAAATACTTTGAGTCTAGTGGCTCCCAGTCTTTCTGGTTTACATTGCTCTTAGTGTCTTATGAATTTTCCCATGTAGTTCCTCAGCCAAAGAAATACTGATGGTCTCATTTATTAATTAGTTCCAAGCAACTTAAGGATTTATGTCCTATCAATTTACAACTATTTTAAAAACCTGTTACTCACATCTTCAGAAGAAAGATCTTACTCTTAAACACAGTTACTAATAGGATGTTATGTCGTTTGGGGCATTGCGTTACCTCTTAAACCTTGGAATTAGACTGGACACCGCCCCTCTCTTGTTCTCTCTTGATTAGACATGATACTTTTTATCAAAATCACCATCACCATGAATAGCTGTGGAGTGATTCCATGACACAGAAAGCACTGAAGTGGGATGAAGTGTTGAGGCTGTAACCTGCTCTGGTGGCCAGTGTGTGAGGTGTCTGACAGATATCAACTATCACTGAGTTTCACTAGAAAGTTTCTCATTTTCTGGGTCTGGGGCATGTGGTGTGCAGTCTAGACACTGACGGTTAGCCTGTACAGTAGGAAGGCTGTTTATCACTGGAGTGGTGTGGGACTGGAAGGCTATGGAAGGGAACTGGAGATTTGCCTTCTCTGGCTTCATGCATGCGCTCCTTCCTCCAATGCAGAACACTAGCCATTTTGTGTTTACTTTTCTATGAAATATGGCAAGATTCTAAGCTTCTGATTTAAAGTTTTCACTTACAGGACTATAGGATTATTTAAGGAGCCTTGGTAGTACAAACTCTTAAGCACTAGGCTACTGATGAAAAGACTGGCATCTACCCAGCAACTCTATAGGAGAAAGACCCCGCAATTCCCTCCTGTAAGGTTTGCTCATTGCCGTTGATTCTGAGCAAACTCGTAGCTGACCCTCCAGAGAGTTTCCAAGGCTGAAAATTACAAGGGAGATTACTCACCTTTCTCCTTTGGAACTGCTGGTGGATTTGAACTGCCAAAGGTGCCTCCTTTGGTTAGCAGTGCAAACCCCTATGGACTAGGCCATCAGGGCTCCCTAAGATTGCGGCTAAGGGAAGCCTGTGAGGCAGGGCTGCTCTGCTACCGTGGGACCCCAGTGAGTTGAAATCTGCTTGATGGCAGCTAATAGAAACCTAAGATTCTTTAGATTATTCTCTTTCTGTTTAAGTCTCTTAGTTTTGCTGGGGGAGTTTTTTCGTCCCAAGTTGACTTGACGGCACCGAACTATAACAACAATTTATTTTGACAAAGTTTTCAAAGTTCCTGGCAAGTGTGGGTCAGAATATTCTTATGTTTTTAGTATATGCTGTATTTGTAACTAAATCTACATTTAATTTCTAATAGTAAATGTATTAATTTTTTTTCTCTTATATGAATTTTATTAATTTTTAAGTTTGGCCTGATTATTTATTCTTTTGCTTTCCACTACTTCCTTTTATTTATTCTATTGCTCATTTTCCAATTTAGACTAGTTACTTAACAAATTTCTTTAGCTTTCTTTTTTAATATATCCCCTGAGGACTATAAAGGTCACTTTTAGCTGCATTTTTGCATTTTTACATTTTAATATGTACTATTTTCCATTCATGCCTACATTTTCTAATTTCCTTTATGATCTTTCCCTTGAAACATTGGTTATTTAAAAATGGGTTTTTAATTTCCAAAGCATAGATTTCAATTAGCTGTCTTTTTCTTTCACTGATGCTTTAAAACGGAAACATTCAGTGTGAATTACATCTCGAAATAAAAACCCTCAGAACTAGACCAATTAATATAATGATATATGGAAAAAAGATTAAAGTTGTTACAGATTCCATTTTAGTTAGATTCATAATCAATACCATGGAAACAATACTGTAATCAAAAGATGTGTTGCAGTGAGAAAATCTGCCAAGGACCTATTTAAAGTACTAAATAGCAAGGATGTCGTTTTGAAGACTAAGATGCGCCAGACCCAAGCCATGGTAGTTTCAGTTGAATCATATGCATGTGAAAATTGAACAACGAAGAGAGAGGAACCAAGAAGAAGTGATTCCTTTGAATTGTGGCTTGGCAGAGAACATTGAATATACACCATGGACTGCCAAAAGAGCAAAAGAACTTCTTGGAAAAAGTGCAGCTGGAGTGTTTGTTAGACATAAGGAAGATGTGTGTGGCTATTTCTTATATCTGTTTTTGTTCCTGTATATATTAAAGCTATAATTTGGTGACTACAAATTGAGACTTTTTATATATTCATGGGTGAACTTTTACCAACAAATGCTTTTTGGCCCTTAAATTAATTTTTTCGTGTGATGTTTTGGGTACCAGAGCCATGCTAGTCTTTCTTGGGTTCTTTGAGGCTTGATAAATATCTGTATCCAAGGACCTCTGATGGCATGTTCTATAGGGAGTTAGGCTGTTATAACTGTATGGTGGTTTGAATCACCAGAAAGATGGTCAGTCTCTTCTGTGTGTTTAACAGGCTAGGAAACCCACTGGAGGGACAGCTGTAAGTCAGTTCCAACTTGAATATGAGAGTTAGATATACCTATTTCTATCTGTAACCTTTCTCTAAGTTTTAGGCATATATTTTATAAACAACACATGGGTAGATTTTTTAAAACTTGCTTTGAGCATTATGTTTTGTTTTGGTTTTGTTGTTTTTTTATGTAAAGGATTCTGATTGATCTGAAAAATGAAGTTTGGTATCAAAAATGTCACGACCCTGTATGTAAAGCAGAAAACTTCAAATCCAACTGTGAGTATATTAATTTTTACAGTGTTCATGACAAAATTAAAATGAGATGTCTGCCTAAAGGAGTTATACTGTCTTTCTGTCACAGGTTTCCCATTACCTCCTGAAGTGAGTCTCCTGTACCTTTTCAAGGACGTGAGTACAGTTTTTTGTTTGTTTGTTTCTCATTACTGACTGGTTCTGGTACAACAGTGCAAATGAGCTATGAGCACAGTATGCAGATAGCTTTTAAACACATTTGGGGCTTTGTTTTCACTTAGAGTGTATTGATTATCCACTGCAGCAGCACGTAGCCTGAAAATATGTATCTTGTTGTCTAAGAACATGCACCTCATTCTTTTTAACTTTTGCTTAGTTACGTTGTCAAGGTAGCAGTTGATTTATCCAATCCTAGACATTTGAGAACCTCTGCGTATTTTCCTTTACAAAGCATGCCAAAGATACATATCTTTGTGTGTGTTCCTCTGACTTTATCTACAGGATTAATTTTTAAAAATAGAATCATGCTAAAGATTATATACATTTTTCATTTTTATAAGTACTGCCAAATTGTCCAACCAAAACCTCATTACCATAAAGCAGATCATGACTTGGTGACCTTACTGGACAGAGTCACATTGACCTATGTGGTTTCCAAGGTTATAATCTTGTCAGAAACAGACAGCCTCCGTCTGGTGGATTAAGCCCATTGACCTTTTGGGTTGTACTTGAGATACCTGGGCTCACTTCAAATTGTCAAACCAACTCTACACATATAAAAATTGTTGTTGTTATGTGCCGTTGAGTCATTTGCGACTCATAGCGACCCTGTGCACAACAGCCCTAAACCCTGCTCTATCCTGCGCCAACGGCACTGCCTCTGACACACCCATCCCGATTACCCCAGTCACCGAATCAGTCCATCTCATAGAGGGTCTTCCCCTCCTGCGCTGTCCCTCCACCCTCCCAAGCATGGTGTCCCTCTCCAAGGACCCTCCTGGCAACATGTCCAAAGTATGTCAGACGAAGCCCCAGAATCCTTGCCTCCAAGGAGTAGCTTGGTTTAATCCTCTCCAAGATGAATCTGTTTTGTTTTCCTGGCAGTCCATGGTACATTCAGTACTCTTCTCCAGCACCACAGCTCAAAAGCATCCACTCTCCTTCTGTCCTCCCTAGTCATTGTCCAACTCTCTGATGCATAACAAGCGATTGCAAATACCATAGCCTGTATCAGGCGCACCTTAGTCTCCAGAGAGACACCGTTGCTCCTGAGTACTTTAGAGAGGTCCCTAACAGCAGACTTTCTCATCACGATACGCTTTTTGATTTCCTGACTACTGGTGCCAAGAGTGTTGACTGTGGAGCCGAGCAAACTGAAGCTGTGAACAATCTCAATCTCTTCGCCATCCATCCTGACACTGCCAGTTGGTCCAGTGGTGAGAATCTTTGTCTTCTTGACATTGAGCCTCAGTCCATGCTGAAGGCTGCAGTCCTTGACCCTTCGCAGCAAGTGCATGAGGTCCTCCTCAGTTTCAGCAAGCAGGGCTGTGTCATCTGCATAACGCAGATTGTTAATAGATCTTCCACCAATCCTGATGCCACAATTCTCCTCATAGTGCCCAGCCTCTCGGATAATCTGCTCTGCATACATGTTGAAAAGGTATGGAGACAGGATGGCGTGCACCCTTCCCAATTTTGAACCATGCATGTTACCCTGCTCTGTTCTGACTACTGCCTCTTATATCCCTGGGCAGAGGGATATAATAATTAGTGGCAAAAAATTAGAGCATACATAAGAAAATATGAGAAAAATCATCCTCAGTCATAATTGACCAGAGAAAACTGATTTTAATGTCTTGTCATTTATCCTTCCCGAATTGAAATCTGTTTGCCTATCTTCTTAAAAAAATCGTAATACATATATGGTTATTTTTCTTGTTATCATAGTTTTAGTAATTCAATACTAATTGCTAAATTGCTCTACTAAAACTATATAAAAATTATATTGTTGTTGTTAGGTGCCATCGAGTCTAGTATGACTCACAGCCACCCTATGAACAAAAGATCTGAAACCAGTACTGTTCTGCGCCATCCTCACACTTTCTGACACCCAGGAGCCCATTGCAGCAGTTACCTGTCAGTCCACCTGGTTGAGGGTCTTTCTTTGCTTCACTGACCCTCCACCCTTCCCAACATCACATCCCTCTCCAAGGAACAGCACTTCCTAGCAATATGCAAAGTATGTGAGGTGAAGCCTCATTATTCTTGCCTCCGAAGAGCTCTCTGGCTGCAAACTCTCCAAGACTTATCTATTAGTTTTCTTGGCCATCCATGGATTGTTCAGTGTTCTTCTCCAACATCACAGCTCAAAAGCATCAATTCATTTTCTGTCATCCTTATTCATTGTCCAGGTCTTGGATGCAGAGCTAGTAACTGGCAAGACCATGGACTGAATCAGACGCACCTTAGTCCTCAAACTGACATCACTACTCAATAATTTGGAAGGGTCTCTAACTGCAGATTTTCCCATTACAGTGTGTCTCCTTAATTGTGGATCCTAGCAAGATGAACCTGTTGACAGTTTCAATTTCCTCTCCACCCATCATGACACTGCCTATTGGTCCAGTGGTAATAATCTTTGTTTTTTTGATATCGAGACACAATCCATACTGAAGGCTGCAGTCTTTGATCTGCAACAAGTGCCTCAAATCCTCCTCATTTTTAGCAAGCAAGGTTGTGTCATCTGCATAATGTAGGTTATTGATGAGTCTCCCTCCAATCCTGATGTCACCCTCTTCATAGAATTCAGCATCTTGGATAATTTGCTCAACATATAGATTGAATAGGAATGGAGAGAGAGAGTACATACTTGACACACTCCCTTCCCAATTTCAAGCCATGCAGTACTTCCCTGCTTTGCTCACACAACAACTTCATGGTGTAGGTATAGGTTCCGCACGAGCACAAGGACGTGCTCTGGGATTCCCATTCTCTTCAATGTCGACCACAACTTGTCATGATCCAGTCAAATGCCTTTGCATAGTCAATAAAGCACAAATAGACATTCTTCTGGGATTCCTTACTTTCAGCCAGGATCCATCTGACGTCAGCAGTGATGTGCTTGATACCACAGCCTCTTCTAAGTCCCCCTTGAACTTCTGGCAGTTCTATTGCTATCTATGTACTGTTCCGGCCATTTTTAAATGATCTTCAGTAATATTTTGCTAGCATGTGATATCACTGATATTGTTCTATAACTTCCATTCAGTTGGATCTTCCTTCTTGGGGATAGGAACAAATATAGACCTCTTCCAATCCATTGGCCAGACAGCTGTCCTCCAAATTTCCTGGCATAGATTGGTGAGTGCTTCCAAGGCTGCATCTGTTAACTGAAACAAGTCATTTGGTATCCCATCAATTTCTGAGGCCTTATTTTTGGCCAATGCCTTCAAAGCAGTTTCCACTTTGTCTTTCATTACCATTGGCTCATGTTCATATGGTACTTCCTGAAATTTTTCAGTGTCAATCAATTCTTTCTAGTACAGTGGCTCAGTGTATTCCCTCCATCTTCTTTTGATGCTTTTTGGGTCATTCAATACATTGCCGATGGCCTCTTTCAACATTGCAACACGAGGCCTAAATTTGTTTTTCAACTCCTTCAGCTTGAGAAATACAGAATGAGTTCATCCCTTTTTATTTTTCAATTCCAGCTCTTTGCACATTCCATTATAATACTTTGCTTTGTCCTCCTGAGCTGCCATATGAAATAGCCTGTTCAGCTCTTCAACATGTAGTTGGTTGAAATGAGGAAAAACAATAACAAACGTCATTTAACAATTGGTATGTGGACTGTTTGTAGCTGAATGTTGTAAAGTTGAATATTGTTAAAAATGAAATGAAATGAATATTGATGTGATGGGCCAGCTGTGGCCACTTTGAGTCAGATAATCATGATATACTATGCAGGGAAAAACAGAAGAACGGTGTTGCATTCATAGTAAAAAAGTCAATTTCAAGTTCTATCCTAAAATACTATGTTGTAGTGATAATATCCATACGCATACAGGGAAGACCTATTAACACAACTGTTATTCAAGCATATGCTTGTACATCTAGTGACAAAGAGGAAGAAATTGAGACTTTTTATCAAATTTTGCAGTCTGAAATTGACCAGACATGCAATCAGGATGTATTAATGATAACTGGTGACTGGAATGCAAAAGTAGGAAACAGTGAAGACGGAACAGTAGTTGGAAAATACAGGCTTGGTGATAGAAATGAGGCTGGTAATAGAATGATTTAATTTTGTATTTATAATTTATTCATTGCAAATACTTTTTGTAAAAGACACAAAAGACAACTTTACATGTGAATTTAATCTGATGGGCTGCATAGGAATCAGACAGACTGCATTTGTGGAATAAATCGTTGAAGAAACTCAATATCAGCAGTCAAAACTAGGCCAGGGGCAGACTGTCTATTAGCTCATCAGGTACTCACATGCCACTTCAAATTGAGGCCAAAGAAAATGAATATAAGTTCACCAACATATGATCATGAATCAATTCCATCAGAATTTCATGATCATCTTAAGAATAGGTTTGAGGCATTTAACACCAATGATAGAAGACCAGATGAGTTGTGGGATAATATCAAGGATATCATCTATGAAGAAAGCAAAAAAAGTCATTACAAAAACAGAAGAAAAAGAAAAAACCAAAATGGATGTCAGAAAAGACTCTAAATATTGCACTGGAGAGTCGGGAAGCCAAATCTAAAGGAAAACGTGTCAAATAAAAATTATAGAAAATTAAAAACATCTACAAGTTGATCACAAGAGTACCTAGTTCCCATTACCTGTGCCAGCATTCTCTTTATTAAGAAGTTGTGGCTACAATCCTGAAGGCATTCGAATCTACCAGCGGCTCTGTCAGAGAAGGATGAGTAATCTCTCGTGCAATTAATTGCCTCTGAAAACCTGCTGGAGGGTCAGCTGAGTTAGTTCTGACTTGACAGCAGAAAACAATAATCTTTACTCCACCCCTTCCCCACTGCAGTGAAGTGTGTCAACCATCTCGTTGAGGGTCTTCCCTCTTTTGCTGACCCTCCACCTTTCTAAGCATGACATCCCTTTCCAAGGAATAGCTTCTCTTAGCAACATGCCCAGGGTATGAGACAAAGTTTTGCCATCCTTTCCTACAAAGAGCAGTCTGTTCTTTTGGTAGTTCATGGGATATTCAGTGCTCTTGTCATCACAGTTGAGAGGTATCAATTCTGGGTTCAGGTGTCTCAGAGATATGTGTGTGGTGCAGATTTCAGCCCTCTTGTCCAAAGGGTTGCTATGAGTTGTAATCAACTTGATGGCACCTAACAACAATCTTTGCCAGTCTGCCAGCCAAAAACTGGTACTTTAGTTACTAAAATTTACATTTCTATAATAATGACTTGAGACTTTTCTGGTTTACTCTTATTGTTTTTAATCTTCTGTACCTGTCCCATTTAGGTTTTTGAGATTCTGTGAATATTTTTAAGGAACTTTTCTAAGCATTCATTGATAGTTTATGTTTGTAGTCTAACTTAATCTTAGCAGTTTTCAGTCACTTTTATCAGCCTTTCCTTTGTGTTAAGAATGTTTTGAAAGAAAGTTAGCTGCTGTAGGCTGCAGTAGTGGTTTATAGTGTTATCTAATGGTCTGGTATCAAATTTGATTAGTAAAAGATTTCCTGAACAAACTCTTAGATATCTGCGCTTGAAATGGCAAAAAACCTCATTTTTAGACTGTAGGTGCGGAATATACTTGCTAAGCCAGACAGTCTAGCAAACTACTAGCTTAAAAAAATATTTTGAAATAACCAAGAACAAATTGGAAAAAATAAATCTATATTAAATAACTGCTCTTAGGAGAAGGATTGTTAACACTTGTTTCATATGGAGTGTCATTTTTGATGAGCAGTTTTCAACGGACTTTGTTGTTGAATGCCTTTGACTCCAGCACAACTCATAGCAACCGTATGAACAAAAGGCCTGAAGCCTATCATTTCTTAAAGTTCATAGTTTCCACAGGAATCCTGTTTATTAGGAAGTGGATGCCACTCCTGCTTCCAAACCTGTCTTCAACTGGGAGCTCCACCAAACACCGTCCACCATGGGTAACTGTTATGACATTTGACACCCTAATGGCACAATGTTCAGCATCACAGCAACCCCAGGTTACCTCAGTACAGCACATTGACAGAAGAGTGCTGGACCACTTAGAAGAATGTTTCTCCAAACTATCGTAACAACTTTTATATGTTGTTGTTGTTCCTATGTGTCACTGAGTTGCCTGTGACCTATAGGGACACAATTTTCTGCTGGTCTAGGAATACCTCAAAAATATCACGTGGAAAGTAATTTTGGTGTTGTGTTTCTAGTGTTTTGGCATATTTGTTTGGATTTTACTTAAAATTTCAACCACCTACTTAACAGTAACCATGGCAAAGAGTTGCACTGCCAGCCCAAAGGCATATGGTTTGAATCCACCAGCCGTTCCACAGGAGAAAGATGAGTAATCAACTCTGGTATGATTTACTGCCTCTGAAAACCTGCTGGAAGGTCAGGAATAAGTCACCTGTGACTCAATGAGACATAACAACAACAATGTGGTTAATTTATAATCATCGTTATTTTGACAGTTGTTCCCAGACTGTTGTTTATAGCACTTTTTCCAATATTTTTATTCCTTTTTAAAAGTACAATATAAACTAGGGAAATAAGTCTAGGAATGAATGTTTTCCAGTTTGTCTTCAGCTGGACTATCCACTTCCTAACAAATTTACCCATCCCCAAGTCCCATCTCTGACACACTTGCAGGATAGGACAGGGTTCAGGTAGTCATCGGGTTTAATGAATCATACTCAACTTGATGGCACCTAACAAGTAATCTCATCTGAGGATATAGAAAAGAATGTGTGACAGGAGCCGCATACGGTGACAAACATGGAATTTCAAGTGGCTGAGCAGCAGTGTCAACATTTCAATAAGAACTCATTTCCATGGTCACTATGTAGGAGACCGTACTCAAAAAGCATCTTTTATTTAACAGCTGTTGAAAATGAAGTTACCACGTAATATTTTAATTCCACAGTGTGTATCTATATATATAAAAATATACATAAAAATACAAATAAACCATAATTGAATAACTTCTTTCTTTTGCCATCCTCACTTACTCCTTCCCCATTGGAAACTAAGGAAGAGGAATTTACAACAGATGAAACAAAGAACAATGAAACTAAGAATCTTCACAAACCATCATCTGATACGTTGTCAAGAGGTGTATCTCCCAGTGATAACTGGGATGAGGACATTGATGATGCTTATTTTTTAGAAGCTACTGAAGATGCTGAATTGGCTGATGCTGCAGAGAGTTTTCTCAGTGACAGCAATGGAGCAGATGAAATTCCTGACGAGCTAATTGTACAAGTATTACAGTAGCAACTAACTAACTAGGGACATTTACTTTTATAGCCAACCTTTAATTTGCCTAAAGATTAAATGGTAGAATTGATCACATAAACATTAAATTATTTTAACTTAAACCTGTTTTTATCAACCAAGTGTTTTTTTTATCATTGTATTGTTCAACTATTATTTTTGCACTTAAGTAAACCAATTTTACCAAAAAACAGCTTTAGTGTACCTAACTTTAGTTGAAATCTCTTTATTAACTAACCAAAATTAAGTATATATTCACTATTTGATCTTGCAAATTCATCTATAGCTTGAATCTAATGTCTGGAGTTGGTTAGGCCAAGGTATCAATGTTTATAATTTCCTAAGAAAGATAATGGTGCTAAAGCATAATACAGTCAAACTGATACTGTTTAACATGGCCAGTCATTTGCTCTGTGACGTAGTTTGTAGGAAGTTGTACCAATAACCCAAAATAATTCTTAATTCTGGGGATTATTTTGAATTAATATATTCTAAATTAAATTTCCAGCCTGAACAATTAGACAAGTTTATTTATATGGATCTAAATGGATTGTTATAACGGTGTAAAGAAATGTTTGACTCAACATAAATATAATATAGGGATTTTGCCCAATCTTCTTTACAGAAAGTTATACATTTCCTTTGATTTTTTAATTCATAAATACAGTTAACAGTAGTAGCATGATCATCTTTATATAGGTACATTTTAGTAAACTGGCCTTCCTTAGTCATTCCTGGTCAAGAAGCATCTCTAATTGTTGGTTGATATTTTGCAGATGAGTTTCAGCTCCCAGAAAGCCTCTTGCTTTAAATAATAGAGCTGGAAGGCTGGATGAGTCATACTGTGGAAGGAAAACATTTAGATTAAAAAAACCTTTATAACAGCATCTGTCTCCTAAATAGCTGGCTCTTGTTCATATTGCCAACTTTTATAGAGCTTTTCTTTAGCTCCTCCTTTCATTTTTAATGAAAAATTAAACCAACTATTTAGAAGAGTAGAAAAAGATATCATGCTGGGAAAAGGGGAGGGTCAGCATAGAGGGGAATGCCCTCAATGAGATGGATGGACACTGTGACTAACTGTGGGCTCAGGTATATCAGAAATGATGAGGATGGCACAGGATATAGCAGGGAACAGATCTATTTTCACAGGGTCTCAGTGAGTCATAGATGACTGGATGGCCCCTAGCAACAAGAGCAGCTCAGTTTTAAATGAGAACCATGTGATCGCTTCATGTCAAACCACTTGTTCAGAGTACTGGCATCTCAGCTATTTAAAAAGAAAAAGGCTTCGTTTAAGGAAGTGTGTCAGAGCTGCTTGGGGTCAGTTTGATTTCCTGTCTGTTTTAAAACACACAGAAGTATAAGTTTGCTTTTACTGAGAACTAAACAAAAAAGCCCTGATAAGTTGAAAACACCAGGACCATAAAAGTACATGAGGAAAGCAAACAAAGACTAATATTCATCATCTAGAAAAATGATCTACTGGAAGGAGCAATTAACTGTATCTTATACGGTTCCAATTCAAGTGATGGTAATGAAAGGCAAAATTAGAATACAAATAGCTAACAGAGTGATGCTGTAGCAGACTTTCACTGGTGCCATGTGGTGGCTCTACTGACTTAAACTTTAGCTTCTCTCTACCACTGTTCTTCAGCTTAGCTATTGCTGCCTGCAGGCAGGTGCCCCACCTACATCAACAGTTGCATAAACCATTTCTTCCTCATAGGGTGTGTTAGCCTATCCACAAAGGGATTGGCTAGTCTCTAAACTGGGCAGATTCAGGAGCAGAAATTGGGAAACTCAGGAAGGAGGGGGGAAAAAAGCAGCGTGTGTCCTTGAAGGCCTGAGGTATCTTTTCGTTGAACAAGAAGCTGCCTGGATTGAGACACTGTAAATAACGATATGCTTCAGGCCTTTGTTCATAAGGTTGCTATGAGTCATGCTCAACTCAACAGCAACCAACAACAACATTTGGCTACAGACTGAGACACTATCTGAACTAATTAGAGGATTGCATCTTGCTGTTAAACTGGCTTGGAACTGCTATTCCCTAAACCTGGAATTGCACTGTGGGATATTCTTTGCCCCTCCCTGTTTCCCAGTAAACACTACAACTGTGATTAAAAAGAATATGTTAAATCTGTGTGATTATTTGCAATGAATTTTTGATCCAGTAATTGGTGAAAGTAGGTACAGCAGAATGGGGACCATATCTGACCTAATAGGGATCAGTTTTATACTGTGGATGTTGCCGAGTTCCCCTTGGTGCAGTTGTAGAGGTCAGATTCTGTCTTCCCACACTGTCCCTGCTTGTTTTACAACTGGTTAACAGTGATACTGTTTTGAGTAGACTGTATCTACATTTTTCCTTCCTCAAAGTTTCTGATGACCTAGCATGCAGATGTCTGGTATCTTCTTCTAAAGTTCAGTTAAAAAGTAAAAATTTGAAGTTAGTTACCGTTTCCATGACTTCTTGTTCTTTTTCTCGAACTTCTGAGTAATCGTCATGAAGCTGCTTTAAATTAGATAAGAAACATGCTGTCGTATTAAGGGAAGATTTTCTCTCCTGAAGTTCATCATATTTTGTTTGTAGCTGTTTCAGTTGTGGTTCTAGCCTAAAACAAAATTATTTAAGTAAATAAATAAGATACAATAAAATATCATTGCATATAGCATATGAAATTGAGTATGTGAGTATACTGAGTAAATATGAAAAGTCAAAGTAGACTGTTGTTGTATACTGTTGAATTGGAACCAACTCATTGCCAAACTCAAGCAGGTTTTCAGAGGCCGTAAATATAATGAACTGCTCATCTTTCTCCCAGGGAGAAACTGGTAGATTCAAACCACAAACCTCTGGGTTGTTGCTTTGGGCCAAAACTAACTCGTAGCTGACCTCCAGCAGGTTTTCAGACGTAAGAAATCATACAAGAGGAGACTATCTTTCTTCCACTTAGGAGCTGGTGGATTCGAACCAGCTGCCTTTGAGGTGGCAGCACAACTTTTTACTCACTAGGCCACCAGAGCATATAATAACCACTACTACCCATGGGTTGGCAGCACAATTCCTTACCAAGGCATTTGACTGCATGGATCACAATTGTGGCTGACCTAGAGAAGAATAGGAATCCCAGAACACCTGACTGTGCTCATGCAAAACCTATACTTGGACCAGGAAGTAGTACTCAGAATAGAACAAGGAAACACTGCTTGGTTCAAAATCAGGAAAGGAGTATGTCAGAGCTGTGTCCTATCTTCTGTCTCAATTTGTATGCAAAACAGATCATTCACAGAGTTTGGACTCTATGAGGAGGAATGTGGCAAGAGAATTAGAGGAAGATTCCTCTACAGCCTGTTGTTATACAGATAACACAACTTTACTTGCTAAAACTGAGGAGGGCCAGAAGTATTTGCTGCAAGATGCTCAAGGACTGTAGTTTGCAATATAGATTGAAGCTCAACCTCAAGAAAATGAAGATTTTCACCACTGGGCACATTGGCAGCATCATGATAGATGAAGAAGAGATTGTTAACAATTTCAGTTTGCTTGGTTCCACAAGTAAGACTCTTGGCACCAGCAGTCAGGAAATCAAATGATGAATAGCATTAGGAAAATCTGCTGCCAGGGACTTCTCCAGAGTGCTGAAGAGCAAGGATGACAGTCTAGAGACTGAAATTACTTGCTATGCATGAGAGAGCTGGACAATACTAAAGATAACGGAAGGATTGATGTCTTGGAGTTGTGATGCTGGGATTGCCAATAAAACTAGCAGGTCTATTTTGGAAAGAGTGAAACCAAGCTGCTCCTTGGAGGTAAAGAGTTTGAGACTTTATCTCCCATACTTTGGGCAGGCAGCTAAGAGGGTCCAGTCTTTTTAGAAGGATATCATGCTTGGAAGTGGGGAGGGACAGTGTAGGAGAGGAAGACCCCCAGATGAGATGGACTGACCTTATAACTGGGGTAATAATGGTAGGTGTGTGAGAGAAAGTGAGATTGGCTCAGGATAAAGCATGATTTAGAGCTGTGAATAGGGTCACTATGAGTTGTAGTTGACTCGACAGCACATAACAGTAATTCAGCAGAGCTCCCTCAAAGTGGACTGTTGTTAGGTGCTGTCAAGTTGCTTGCAACTCACAGCAAACCTATGTACAACAGCCCTAAACCCTACTCTATCCTGTACTAATCTTACTGTCTCTGACACACCTACCCCCTCCTACCCCAGTCACTGAATCAATCTATCTCATTGAGGGTCTTCCTCTCTTGTGCTATCCCTCCACCCTCCCAAGCATGATGTCCCTCCCCAAGGACAGGTCCCTCTTTGCAACATGCCCTAAGTATGTCAAATGAAGTTTCAGAATCCTTGTCTCCAAGGAGCAGCCTGGTTTTACCCTCTCTAGGATGAACCTGTTTCTCTTAACAGTCTGTGGTATATTCAGTTCTCTTCTCCAGCACCATAGCTCAAAGGCATAAATTCTCCTATCATCCCTAGTCATTATTCAGCTTTCTGATGCATAGCAAGTAACTGCAAAGACCATGGCCTGAATCAGGCACACACTTAAGACTGTAGCTATGGCAACTGAGGCTGAGTCCTCAAGTATGGAAACACAGAGGAGGAGAAACAGTTGCAGACACCAGTGACTGGAACACAGAATGTGAGAACCATCAATGTAAGAAAATTGGACACTGTTAAAAAAGAAATGGAACACATAAATATTGACATAGTAGGTATTGTTGAAATGAGATGGACTGGCATGGGAGATTTTGAGTGAGACGATCATATGATTTACTATGCTGGAGATGAGAAAAAATGGGATTGTTATCATAGTTTAAAAAGTCATTTCTGTGCTCGCTTCAGCAGCACATATACTAAAATTGGAACGATACAGAGATTAGCATGGTCCCTGCGCAAGGATGATGCAAATTCGTGAAGCATTCCATATTTTTGAATTTCAAAACACCACGTGGAGCCGTTTGAGTCTGTTTGCTGTGCTGTAATATTGTCAATAAATTTAGGCACACCAGCAAAAAAAAAAAGTCATTTCTAGATCCGTCTTGAAATACAATGTTTTGAATGACAAGATAATACCCATATACATACAAGGAAGTCTAGGGAACACTACTATCATTTAAATATATGCACCAACATCCAGCGCCAAAGAGGAGGAAATAGAAGATTTCTACCAATTTTTCCAGTAAGAAATCAATCGAACATGCAGTCAACATGCATTAATAATAACAGATGACTGGAATGCAAAAGTTGGGAACAGAGAAGAAGGATCAGCAGTTAGAAAGCATGGGCTTGGAGACAGAAATAAAGCTGGAGATAGAATGATGGAATTTTGTACAATCAAGGACTTACTTGTAAATAATTTTTATAAGAAATATAAATACAGTCTATATACATAGATTTCACCTGATGGTATGTGTAGGAATCAAGTAGATTTCACCTAATGGAATGCATAGGAATCAGATTGATTGCATTTGTGGAAAGAATCACTGGCAAAGCTCAATATCAGCTGTGAAAACTAGGCCAAGGTGCAGCTTGTGGAACAGACCACCAACTACTCATATGCAAGTTCAAGCTGGATCTGAGGAAAATTAAATCAAGTCCACGGGAACCAAAATTTGACCTAGAGTTTATCCCACCTGAATTTAAAAACTATCTCAGGAACAGGTTTGAGGCCTTGAACACTAATAATGAAGCAAAGACTACATGAGCTGTGGAAGAATATCAAGAATACCATCCAGTAAGAATGCAGATCATTACAAAGACAGAGGAAGAAGAAAAGACCAAGATGGATGTCAGAAGAGACTGATTATTGCACTAGAGCACCAAGAAGCCAAAGCAAAGGGTAGAAATCAGGAAAGTAAGGAGCTGAACAGAAGATTTCAAAAGGCAGCACAGGAAGACAAAATATTATAATGAAATATAAAAAGAGCTACAAGTGGACGAGATGACTTAAAATCTCTTTGACTCTGAAATTAGAATTATAGACATGTGCAAGTAAATTATAAAAAGTGTGAAAGGCTCAAGATTTCTTTTTAAAAGTCACAACTTTGAAATTCAGTGCCCAATAAATCAGCATTAAGACACACATGCCTTATATACCTTTCATCTCATCAAGTCAATGTTTTAGGTCTTGGGAACTCGTTAACCACATGTTTGGTTTCATTTTAGTCCTCACAGATCTCCCAGATAGGAACAGGCAGGTACAACAATTTGAGAGTAAAGATGGAGATAAAACCACCTTCTTCTTACTCAAGGTCAAAATCCACTCTCCAAGCCCAACAAGGCCAGTGGACAGACTATCCCACTGACTGCACTGAATGTGTGTTCTTAAGACACTCTGCTTGTCTCAGTGCCCAATTTCTTTACCAAAAGTAAAGACAACGTGATCTTGTGGTGGGTGGGGCAGTTGGCAGACTCTCAATTTTGATTTTGCCAAATAAAGACATAAAAGAGAACTATCCTCTAGTACCTGATACTGATTTACTATCCATCCAACCCCACCTCACATGATAATATTGGCTAATAGAAAAGCTTATGATTACATATTATCATGACAGGAGTCCTGAATGAAGGCTTCATAGTGGAGTGGCTTCAGGGGGGAGGGACTGTATAACAATGAAAGAATTTTTTTCTGTTACTTTTCAAAGAGAAGAGCAAATTGGGAGGTAGGGGTGGGCAAGGGAGAAAAGTGCAACAATGAATGAATGGAAATCCAAAGTCTCTGTAAACTTTCATCAAAATTAATTTAAAAAAATCATATGTTAAAAAAATTAAAACAAACAAACAAAAAAGCACCAAAAATTTTTTATGAAAAATACTTTAGCAGTTCTTTATACTGAAGAAAGCCACATTCCGGAACAATGATGACTCTGACTGCCGACATCAGACTTGGCTCTACCACTTCCTTGGCATGTTCCTTACTTTCCTGTGTCTTGAGTTTTTCACACATAAAGAAAAACCATGACATACCACATTTCCCTATATGTTTTCAAAATATAATTTTCACCTTTAAGAACCACCTACCTCCACAGGAATCTGATGATGATGATGATGATTAATGACAGAGTACAGGAGAAAACATTTAGGACTGTGTCTGACAGCTCTAAGTGTCAGCCATCATTATTGAATTTCCTTTCTTTTTCTTATTCTGGCTTGAGTCAATAACAGCTTTATCCTGGGCTACACCAGTCCATCAGGTAGATCTGGAAACCAGTGGACCACATACCCAGTATCGTTTTTATAAATTCCTGCAGCATTGTCATCTTTCAAATTTAGTACTTAATTATCATTCACTATCTTTTCTGATAATGTCAGCTTCCATTTTTAAATTTAAATTTTAAAGCTCCTAAATAAAAAAGCATATTTGGTACTGGAAAGCACTGAAAAATGCATATTGGTCAACAGTCTGTGTGTTCTAGTTTCCTACAGAGGCCCTCAGAACAGCCATGGCTTGCAAAGCCTGGGGTGTTCTCTGGATCCAACACTGGGGAACAGGTTCAACAGTGATATAAAGAAAAAACTGTCAACACTTGTATAGCACTTGTTAGGTGCCAATCACAAAAAGCACTTTATTTTACAAATAAGGAAACTGAGTCACTAGGAGGTTAGCTTCCTAGCGTTGTAGGGCCACAAGTAACAGTGGTTGGAAGTGCACCCTGGCAGTCTGGATTTAGTGTTTGTACATTACAGTACACACTTAGGTTTCCTCTCAGGCCAAGATAGCTGCTGTTTGATGAGTGCAGAATTCTCATTTGATAAAGGTTTCGCAACCAGGCAGCATAACCTATATTCAGTAAGTTTCCAAGCTCAAAGATACCCTGGAGTTTTGATGCACTGCAATAGCACGTTCTGTTATCCCCATATCTCAAAACTTATGCATTGCTGTCAAGTCAGAGCTAACTCACCATTGATCCTCCAGCAAGTTTTCAGAACTTGTAAATTTATTGCACAGGAAGAGGTTGACCATCTTTCTCCCACAGAGCCACTGATAGATTCAAACCTCCAGAGTAACACTGGCTTTGGGGTAGCAGTGCAACACCCTATAGACTAGGGCACCAGGGCTATCCCCAAATAGCACATCATAATTATATTCTAGGTAATTTCTCAAAACAGAATTGTGATAATATCTTACCGAAGTAGTTCACCCTGGACTTCAATCAAGCGTTGTCTTTTCTTTTCAATACCGGAAATTATCTAAGTGATACAATAATATCTTGGTTAAATTAATATCATAAATATTTGAGAACTGCTATATGCTAGATACTATGCTAGCTACTGGAAATTCAGGGGAGAAGAAGACAGACCTGATTCTTAGCTTGAAACTTTGGTCTAGGAGGAAAGCTTACTATGTACAAATAGGATGCAACTATGACATGTTATTAAGAGAAAAAAGGAGCCCTGGCGGTGGGGTGCATTACGTGTAGGGCTAATAAATGCAAGGCCGGTGTCAAATTCACAAGCTGCTCTATAATAGTAAAATGAGGCAGTCTGCTCCCATAAAGATTTACATGCTCAGAAACTCAATGGAGAATTATTCTAAGTCAGAATCGACTTGGCAACAGCCGACTTGGTTGAACTTTATAAAGAGAAAGGAAAAGGGGGGTATCTACTTCACAACTACTTTAGAGGTCTTATTAGATAGACCCTGTGAGCTCAGAAGTTTATATTTTATCTAGGTGTTCCTGAGAAAATAGTGAAGCAGGAGAATGTTGTGGTCTAATCTGGTTTTTGAAAAGAGTATGTCAATATAGGGAACCCTGTGGCCTAGTGACAAGAAGCTGTGTGGGAATCCCAAAAGGCACACAGTTTGAAACCATCAGCTGCTCCATGGGAGAAGGACAGGCAATCTCTTCCTGTTATATTGCCTCTGAAAACCTGCCAGAGGATCGGCTATGGGTTGGTTCCAACTAGATGGTACAAAATGGCATACCAATATATTTTACTATATGACCATTATTTCAGTGATTGCCTAATATGCTCTTGCTAGTCACTGAGATTGTTTCTACTACTCTGCAATACAGTTATGACCAGTAAGAGCCTAAAACTGAAGAAACAAAGGCTTGTAATCACTGGAGGTGGGGGACGACTATACATCTCAGATCCACTTCTATTATAAACATAGAACTAATATCCATTCCTCCATGAACTGACTATGCCAGTTTAGAGTCAGGTCCTTGTTACACACAAGAGCAAAGTTAGGCCCATGTTTCTCACAGGCGTATGATTTTGATTTTCAGGGTGGGACAGCATTAAAGTCACAGCACCAAGATTAGCAATGTCTCCTGACCACTACCTCAAGGTTTCTCCTAGGCTGTCCTTCCACCTGGGATAGTTTTCCAGGGGGTTTTGCTTTTTGACATCCACAAAAGCAATACATACCTATTATTTAATGCTTTTCCACACAAGTGGTCAGTTTGGGCTCGATAGTTACTTTTAGGTTAACTTTTGGCAGTATTTTAAAAAGACTTTGGTTTCTGTGTTTGACTTGAAAAACAATTTTTTAACATGTGAGCTGCTTTAGAAAACATAGATGAGTGAGTGAGTGAGTAGCTTCCCCATTTCGTGGCTTGCATTAGCACCTCAAAAAGCCAACCAGATCAAGCACAAGAAAACTTGACTACAAAGACAAAAACCCCTTACTCAGTGGGGAGGAAGGCACAATGCTTAGCAGACACTAAACTTTGTTAAAGATGATGGAAAAATTTGGAAACAGGAAATGACTGTATAGCATAAGCACAGTGGCACTGAAATGCACAGTGAAGATGGTAGGAATGGCCAATGTCCAGTTATTGTTTATACTTAGCACAGTCGAAAACAAAGAACTCAAGCTCATACAAACATTGAAGGCCAAAATCCAGACTTAAGTCTTTATGTATGTTAACTCAAAGCTCAAATTCACTGGCATCAAGTCAGAACCAATTCATGTCTGACCCTCTAGTGGGTTTTCAGAGGCTGTGAATCTCTAAGGAGGAGAATTCCCATCTTTCTCCACTGGAGTCACTGATGGATTCAGACTGCCAAAGAGGTGCCACCTTCGGAGCCAATGGCATAACTTGCAGTGAACTACACCTCCAGACGCCCCCTGTGTAGGTTAGTTATAGGACTGTTTGTCTCTTATCATGTAGGTGATTTACCTTAGTATTCTTCTGTTTCATATTTTTCAAAAGCTGGACATCCTTAATCTACACAAAAACAAAACCATAAATATTTGCTTGCATTTTCCAGAATTGAAAAAATATATAGCTTTTATTATCTTAGCATACATTATATGTAGTTTAAAAAAAATAGCACATGTGATACAGGTGAATCTAATGAGATCATGACTATATTGCAAGTAGCAAAGCTTTTCTTTGAAGTCCGCTGTCTCAAGATTAGTTGTAAAAAACAAATTTAGACCAACACATGTATGTAAACATGTTACCATTTGGGAAAGTTCTTCTTTAATATTAGAACAGAATTTGTTGACAGCTTCCTTACATATTCTAGATTCTACTTTATGTCTGTGGAAAAATGGAAAGAGATCAAATTAAACATAATAAAGCATTTTGAAAGGTACTTTTGTTGGCTTAGTACATAAATACATACAATTTATCACAAACCCTTCTAAGTATTTTTTTCTCTTTACATGCCAGCTGCTTTCTTTTTTTTTAAATTGCCATAGGATTTTATATTCTTTTTATATTTTATACTTTTAAAATATTTAAGATGGTTATATTTCAGGAAGAATAAATTGGGGGGAGGGGTGGGAAGGGAGAAAAGTGAAACAATGAATGATTGGAAACCCCAAGTCTCTGTAAACTTTCATTAAAATAAAAAAAGATGGCAATGTTGAATACATTTCTTTCTGATGATGAAAAAGTACTAGAAATATGTCATGTCTCTGCAAAAGAAAAAGTATAGCAAATATTTTCCCCAAACTATCAGCGTTGTGGTCATCTTCACTTTCCGAAAGTGGCCACATCAACAAGTGATACCAGTCTATGCTGAAATACCTAGAAACAACCCATCTTTCCCTGCTGCCTGATCTAATGACCAGCAAGACTTCAATAACCTTCCTCCTCTCTTGCTACATGTTTGAACTAACCATTGAGTAAGTAGCCAGAAGTCACTCTCCAGTCCTTCAGAAACTAAAACTAAGCCAAAGGGTCTGGTTCCAAGTTACTGTCATCAGGAGAGGAGATCTGGTATGCGGGTGCTAATTCTTTGAAGTCTGGCTCACTCACAGCTGGATGGTCGACCCACTGGGCACGTACAACAGACAGACATTATACAAGGAAGTTCCTATGCCCTAGCTCTGCTTTTGCATAACAAGACAACATTGCTTCAAAGGCATCCTTACAGTTAAAAATAATAAATCTCCCCACTTAAGTGATAGGTAGTCAATGAGTAAATGATCAACAACATGCAATAAGTACATCCATACCATAGAATACTACTTGGCAAGGAAAGAACAGACAACTAATAAACCCAACCACCTGGCTGACTCTCCAGGGAATGATGCTGGGAGGCGGCAGGGAAGGGAATTCCAAAGGGTTACGTATAACATTATTCCATTTATATAACTTTCTTGAAATGGTAAAATGATAGTAAGAGAGAACAGGTCAGTGGTGGCTGGTTGTCCAGGGTTAAGAACAAGATGGGAAATAGTGGGAGGAATGGCTGTGCAACAGACAGACACTGTACAAGACAGGATATTATAACAAAAGAGGATATAAGATCTTTGTGGTGTGGAGATGCTTCTGTATCTTCTGCTGGTAGATACATGAATCTATGGATTAGGTCTGTAGGGAGTGACACTGCTGACCTAAAGGCTAACCTTTCTGGAGGTTCAAATACATCAGCAGCATTGACAGTCTCTTCCTTTATGACACACAGTCTTGGAAACCCAACAGAAGGTCAGTTGTGAGTCAGTTCTGACTTGAGGGCAATGAGAGAGAAGTACATGTGTACAGACACACATACAAACACACAAGGGGAAATCTAAATAAGATCAGTGGCCTATGTCAATGCCAGTATCCTGGCTGCCATACTGCATTATAATTTTATGAGATATTACTCAGTAACCAAACAAAATCACTACTGTTGAGTCGATTTGCAACCTGGTGACCCTCGAGGATGGCACAGAACTGCCCCACTGGGTTTGAGGCTGTAGCTCTTAATGGGAGGAGATTTCCTTATCCTTTATCTTGTGGAGTGGCTGAAAGGTTTCAATCACCCACATGGAAATTCTAGTCATCAGGACTTCAGTTTTCATAATGACCAAAAGAGCCAACAAATCCAAGAAAACGAAACCTGCTCCCTCTGAGTCAACTCCAACTCCTGGCAGCCCTCTATCAGGTTTCTGAGGAGGCTGTGAATTCTTAACAGGAGAAGACTGCCTCACTGTTCTCCTAAGGAGAGGGACATGGCTTCAAACTGCCAATCTTTCAGTTAGCGGCTGTTTAACTGTTTAAGCCAGCTCGGGGCTCCTTTTTTAAGACTAAAAGGATGAAGAAACATCAAACTGGGAGGAGGGAAACACTAAAGAATTAGAAACAGTATATAGCGGTATCCTATGAACCTGGAGAGAGGATGAAAGGCACCCAAGCGTCGAGGACTCTCCTTCATAGGGTCGCTATGAGTCACCTGCGAATTGACAGCACTTAACAACAACAACATAGAGTGGTATATATTTTTCCAAATGTATAGTTAATTACAGTAAATGTAAATAGACTCAATTCAACATCTCAAATATGAAGTTTGACAAACTGGATCCAAAATCATTTCTAAAAACTAAGGTTAAAAAAAAAAAAAAAAAAAAAAAAAAAACAAAAAACTAAGGTTAAAAGGCATACAAAGACAAAGGATAGAAGTAAAGAAAGTAAAATTACTAAATGAAAGATGATGCTGTCAGATAAAACAGATTTTAGGACAAAAAAATGTACTAAGAATGTAGAGGGACAGTCACTATATAATTATAAACAGTTCTATCCAAAATAGAAATTTACTCATGATATTTCTAATAAAATAGTCCTTAAATACGTGTGTGTGTGTGTGTGTGTGTGTGTGTGTGTGTGTGTGTGTAAATATATAAAATTGATAGAAGTACCAGGAATAACTGATTACTCGTTACAAATACTCAATAATTATAGATTCCACAGAGACCATATGCTAGGATATAAAGAAATCTCAAAATTCAAATAAATAGGTAATATCAGAAAATGATTTGATTGTATCTTTTACAAATTTAAGATAGAATGTTAAGACTATATTTAAAAGATAATTTTAAAACCCCATAAAAATGTGTATTTGGATATTTAAAAATATACTGCTAAACAACTCAAGATAAAAATATTACAAAGAGATAGAAAAAGACCTGAAACTGAATGACAATAAAAATATTACGTATCAAAACTGTGATGAGCAAAAAATCATTCTTTAAGGAAAATTTATTAAGAATATATATAACCAGATGACTTACTTATACTTTAAGAAAGTTTTCTCAAATGCAGACAAAACAATATCCAGCTCTGTGATGTCACTCATTTCCTTTTTTTCTTGGTTCCAAGTAAATGCACTGTCGGAAGTATCACTATCTGAAACATTAAAATAAATCCCTTCACAGATTATTCATAATTTGGCTCTAGTCCAGTGTTCTGAAAGTCTAAAACAGAAACAGTCCCACCAAATTGTTAAAGATAGCCTATCTGAAGTATGGTGTGAGTGAGTGTATGAACCACTTTCTTCCCATAACTAGACACAGTCTCACAAGCTCCCATCTTCTGTCACTCTAATTCCTATTGCCTCAGCTCTCTTACTGTCCTTGTTGAAACAATTCAAAACACTGCTGCCATTCTGTTACTAGTCTTCTGCTATCCAATGCTACTGCTGATTGAGCTCTTTACTGAATTTTCTCTGACAGGTCACTTCTAGAAGACATCAAGATCACTGGATGCATTAATAGTTGTAGTACATAGAAATATACTGGCCTACGAGTCTGAAGACTTGGGTTCTGATTTGAGCTTTATCTAGTCATAGGCTCTAAGGTAAATCTTTCAGCCATGAGTCTCAGCATCTTCAATGGTAAAAAAACAAAAGGAACCCATGCCAGACAGTTTTATTTTATTGTTCTTGAGCAAGAAAGTATCTGTCAATTTCCCTAAACAGTGAATTATTATACATTTGGAGGTGCTATTATAAATTTCTAATTAATTCCCAAATTACCTTTGGTTAAGATTATGCCAACAGGATAACAATGTAGTTTACACTTTTTTAGGGAGTGAGTTATGGTGGCACAGCCTGTAAAAGAGTTGCACTCTTAACCCAAAAGTGGGGAGGCTCGAATCCTACAGCTGATCCCAGGGAGAAAGATGGGCAGTCTCCTCCCACATGGGTACAGCTTCCAAATGGAGGGTCAGCTATGAGTTGGATTTGCATCCACAGCGAGTGAGTGAGTGAATCTTTACAGAAGCTGATTGCCACATCTTTCTCCTGTGAAGCAGCTGGTATGTTCAAATCAATGACCTCTGTGTTAGCAGTCGATCATTAAATCACTCTGCAACCCAACGGGAGGCAGTTCAAGGCTACGCTGCTTCAACAGAGAATGTATATTCAATTTTAGCCTAGAAAACCCACTGGTGGGTGAGATGAGTCAGTTCTGACTCAACAGCAATCAATAAGAGTAGTTGTTGTTAGATGCCCTCAAGCTGAGTATGTCGCTTAGCAACCCTATGAACAGATCTGAACCCTGCCCAATCCTGTGCCATCCTCACAACTCAGACACACTTGAGCCCATTGCTGTAGTCACTGTCAATCCACCTGGTTGAGGGTCTGCCTCTCTTCTGCTGTCCCCTCCCCTTTCCAAGGATGATGCCCTCTTCCCAGGAATAGCCTTTCCTAGCAACATGACCAAAGCATATGAAAAGAAGCTTCACCATTCTTGCCTCCAAAGAGCATTCTGGCTGCACCTTTTCCAAGGCATATCTGTAAGTTATTTTGGCAGTTCATGGTATATTCAGTATTCTTCAATACCATAGTTCAAAGGCACCAATGATTCTTCTGTCATCATTACTCATTGCCCAGTTCTCGGATGCAAAGCAAGTGATTGTAAAAACCATCACCTGAATCAACACACATTAGTCCGCAAACTATTATCAGTGCTTCTCAGCAATTTGGAGAGGTGCTTGACTACAGACTTTCCAAGTGCAATACGTCTCCTAACCTCTTGACTGCAGGTGCCAAGAGGATTGATTGTGGATCCAACAAAGATGAAATCTTTGATTGTTTCAGTCTTTTTCTCCATCTGTTAAAATGTTTCCAATTGGCTCAGTGGTGAGAATTTTTGTTTTCTAGGTGAAGGCTGCAGTGTTTGACCCTCTGCAGCATTTCAAATCCTCATTTTCAGCAAGCAAAGCAGCGCCACCTGCACACCGAAGATCATCAATGAGTCTTCTCCAGTCCTAATGCCATATTCTTCATCATAGAGTCCAACTTCGCAAATAATTTGCTCAGCATACAGATCGAATAGATACAGTAAGAAGATACAATCGTGATGCACACTTTTCTTAATTTTAAAAAGTTTAATGTTCCCTTGCTCTGTTCACACAACATCTTCTTGGTCTTCGTATAGGTTTAATGCAAGAACAATTAAGTTTTCTGGAAATTCCCATTCTTCTCAATGTTAGCCAGAATTTGTTATGGTCCACACAGTTAAATACCTTTGCACAGTCAAAAAAGTATAAACAGACATGTGTCTGGTCTTCTTCACTTTCAGCAAGCATCTGCAGATGCTACAGCCTCTTCTAAATCCACCTTAAACTTTTGGCAGTTCTCTATGTACTATTCTAGCCATTTTTAAAATGATCTTCAGCAGTATTTTGCTTGCATGTGATATTAATATTGTTCAATAGTTTCCACATTCTGTTGGATCCCCTTTCTTGGGAACAGGAAGAAATATGGATCTCTTCTAGTCAGTTAGCTGTGTTCCAAATTATCTAGCATAGTCTGGTGAGCATGTCCAGGGCTGACCTTGTCATTTGGTATCCCATCAATTCCTGGGTCCTTATTTTTTGCCACTGCCTTCAGTGTACCTTGAACTTCCTTCTTTACCACTGGCTCTTGATCATATAGTACTTCCTAAAATATTTCTGTGTCAGCCAATTCTTTTTGGTACAGAGTCTGTATATTTCCTCCATCTTCTTTTGCTGCTGACTAGGTCATTCAAGATTTTGCCTATAGCACCTCTAAGTATTGTGAATTAACTCAGCAGTAGTTGTTGTTATGTGCTGTCGAGTCACTTGTGACTCATAGCAACCCTATATGCAACAGCCCTGAAACCTCTATCCTGTGCCAACTTTACTTTCTCTAAAACATTTATCCTCATTACTCCAGTCACTATATCGATCCAGTTCATCGATGGTCTCCCTCTCTTTCTCAGAAGAGGCAGGAGGAAATTTCTGGATGTTTGTAAAGGTTTATATATTGGCTGTTGTGTATTATGTACCATCGAGTTGTAACTAATTCATAGCTGATCTTTCATCAGGTTCTCAGAGGTAAGTAATCTCACAAGGGCAGATTGCTCATCTTTTTTCCTCCGTGCAACAGGTGGATTTGACCAGAGTTCCCCCAGGTTAGCAATGCAACCTTCTTACCACTAGGCCACTAGAGTTCCCTATATATTGATAAAGAGTTTGAATTACACAGGTTTCTGCATTTTCCAACACTCAGCAAAAATACATCTAAAAGCTGGAGGCACTTCATTGTACGTGTTCACATATAATATGTTCACATATAATATGTAAATACTGTAAACATGAAAGCCTGGTTAGTGATGTGCATGCTGAAGCATTTCAGAAGAATAATACTTAGGTCTGATATTTATTTTAAAATGTTCCCAAAAAATTGAAATGGATAATGGATGAGTATCTATCTTTCATTGCCTTCCAGTCAGAATTGATTCATAACTGCTCCATCATCAGATTTTCAGAGGCTTTAAATCACATCATAGGAGATGGTCTGTCTTTCTTTCTTTCTTATAACAACTGAGGGATTTGAACTGCCAGAGAGGCATCATGCTTGACAGACTATTCTAAAGATGATAAAGCAAATGGCATAAAATGTCTATAGTAAAATCTAAGTGGTAAGTATACTATATTTTCCACTCTAAGCCACCTTCATTGTATGTTGAACATTTTAATTTTAAACACTGGAAAAAGACCAGTTAAAACAAAATTACTGTTGTTGTTATATGCTGTTGAGTCACGTGTGACTCACAGTGACATGTAGTGACATACCATAGCTCTGAAGCCTGCCCTGTCCTGAGCCAGTCTCACTGACTCGGACACACCTACCCCCATTGCCCTAGTTACTATGCACGAAAATTACATACTAATTTTAAAAACTAGCAATCTTATGTACTTACAACTTAGTACATAAACAAATTAAGTTCATTTTTTTAAAAAAGGAATTACCAAGTCAGTTACATAGTAGAAAATGCTATACAGTACCTGAGTCTATATCTTTACTTCTTGATTTCTTCCCTTTGCCATGCGGTTTCTTTCTCTTTTTCTGAGCTTTCTATAAAAAAGCACAGATCTTTATTTGAGAAAAGTTTTCTTTTAAAACAGATTATTATACTCATCAGTATTTAAAATATATATTAGTATTATCAAACACTTTCAATTAGTATTTCAGTTATAATTCTTATGTAGTTCTATATAGTTTTTTAATATAAATTGACAAAAAGAAATATGTAAAACTTAAATAATGTTACAAAAAAAGGCAATGAAACTTTCACTTGACTTATAAAACTGTTTGGGAGAAATCGAAACATTTACTATTTAAAGTCAAATTGCTACTCCCAGGAATAATGAAGTACCAGCTTCTAGACTTGTTCTCTTGCCATAAATAAGCATGAAATGAGGTGTGTGGTAGTTAATTTCATGTGTAACTTGGCTAGGCGTTGGTCTCCAATTGTTCAATCAAATACTAGTCTAGATAAGGCAATAAAGGTACTTAGACATGATTACCATCTATAATTATTATCGTTACATACTGTCAAGTTGCTTGCAACTCATAGGGACCCTGTACACAACCACTCTCAACCCTGCCTTATCGTCAGCCAATCTCACTGGCTCCAGTACACCTACCCCCATTACCAAGTTACTATGTCAGTTCATCTGAGTCTTTTCTCTTGCACTGTCCCTCCACCCTACCAAGCATGATGCCCTTCTCCAAGGACTGGTCATTTCTGGAAACATGACCAAAGTATGTGAGATGGAGACTCAAATTTCTTGCCTCCAAGGAGCAACTTGGTTTCAAACTCTCCAAGACTGACCTATCTGTTCTCTTAGCAGTCTAAGGTTTATTCAACATACTCAAAGGCATCAATTCTTTTTCTGCCATCCTTAGTCACTGTTAAGCTCTCTGATGCATACTAAGCAATTGCAAAGACCATGGCCTGGATCAGATACACTTTAGTCTCTAGATTAACACTGTTACTCTTCAATACGCAGGAGAGATCCCTGACAGCAGATTTTCCTAACGCAATTTGTCTTTTGATTTCCTGACTGATGGTGCCAAAGTGTTGATTGTGGAA